CGATTTGACTGAGTCCGCCGGCCCCTGGAACCAGCCTTCGACGGACCCTTCGGGGTTTCCTCTGGACCTACGAACCAGTGACCCCCAATTTGGTGTGTTCAACCAGCCCCCTGCGGCAGACCACGCTGTAGATTCTGTGATAACGCCCGCGCTCTCTCGCGGATGGTTGTCCACTCTTCTGACTGTTAACTTCCTCCAACCTAGTTTCCCCTAGCTCTGGACTGAAATGTACGATCCCACCTCCCTCCCACCTGTCGTTCCAATTGCTCTCTTCCCACACGGAAACGGGTCGGAAGATCGCAGTGGAAAGGTCCTTCTCTATTAACCTAAGCCCCTACCATAAGCTTTTGGGAAGGATAATCGCAGTGCGCTCCTTTCAAGTCGCCCACAAAAACAGAGTTCTGTAAAAGAAAAAGAACAGCTTAAGTAGTGTCTACATTTCTCATGTATTTTAAAAGTCTCAATAGTTTCCATTTTCTTGTCTGCATCAAAACAGTCATCTTACAGAAGTTGGTTTAAGCTGAAGTAGTTTAATACAACAACCTGCTGTACATTGCAACTAACCGTAATTAAAAGTCCGTTCAGTTGTGTCTAGGTGACAGTTAACACCTCAGAAGCAAACCCAGAGTCCACACATTCATTTAAAGGTCTTTTTCCATTATTGCTTACGGATGTGGCATCTTCCTAAATATACTCGGGAATGACGCGCGTGCACTATTGCAAAAACTGAAAAGAATCCAATTGGTTCAGCAGGTCACGTGACGCCCGTTGACTGCCCGATCGATATCAGCCTGCACCACGTGCGCTCGGAACAGACAAGACAAAGGGACCGCCTGAAAAAAAGGCGCCATCTGGGGGCCAATTAACATTCCGAGGCCGAGGGGTCACTCGACCACTGTCGATGTGCCCTTCGTTCGGAAAAAATCAAGCGCGTGTATACCGCCAAGGGACCAATAGAGAGAAGGCTAACTGTTCGCGCCAGGCCTCACGGACGAGCGATTATTCAGATGCCCAACAGCTCATACTTTGGGAATCCGGGCGAACAAGCCCCCTAGATGCTTCACCTCCACTGCTGCCGTGTAAAATCCTTTACTGCGAAAATCAACAGCCACCATGGCAACGGGCAGTCGTTCCGTCAGAATATTGCAATGGTGGT